CCACCGTGCCGCCCTAAATTAGGGATAACATTATGGCTGTACTTAGGGAGGATATTCCTGGGAATGTTCAGGCAAGTTATTGGGATTGTACTTTGGACCCCCCAATAGTCAATGGAAAATTGAGAAACAAATTGGTAAGGAGATCTCAGTTATCTGTAAGAATAATAGAGCGGTTATGGTAGGGGATTTTAACCTTCCAAACATAGACCGGGACTGCCATAGTGTTAAGGGCTTGAACGGAGAGGAATTTGTTAAGTCTGTACAAGAAAATTTTCTGATTCAGTATGTGGATGTACCCACAAGAGGTGTAAAACTTGACCTGCTCTTGGGAAATAAGGCAGGGCAGGTAACTGAGATGTCAGCAGGGGATCACTTTGGGTGGAGTGACCATAATTCAATTAGTTTTAAGATAGTAATAGAAACGGATAGACCGGATCTAAAAATTAAAGTTTTAAATTGGAGGAAGGCCAATTTTGACTTTAGACAAGAACTTTCAAAAGTTGATTGGGGGTGGATGTTCACAGGTAAAGGGGCAACTGGAAAATGGAAAGCCTTCAAGCATGAGAAAATAATATAGATGAGAATGTGAATGGGGTAATAAGTAAGTTTGTGGATCACAAGAAAATTGGCTGGGTAGGCGACAGTGACAAAGAAGTTCTTAGGTTCCAGAAGAATAAAACAGATTGGTCAGATGGCAGATCAGTGGTAGACGGAATTTAACCCTCAAGAGTGTGAGATGATGCACTCTGGGAGAATTAACTAGACAAGGGAATACTCAATAAATATCAGAACGCAAGAAAGCTCAGAGAAACAGAGGGATCTTGGGATGCTTGTCAACAGATGCCTGAAGGCGACAAGACAGGTTAGTAGCGTAGTTAAGAAAGCATAAAAGACATTTGTGTTTATCAGTCCTGGCATGGATTATAAGAGCAGGGAGCTTATACTGGAGACGTACAAAACTTTTGTTAGGCTACAACTATGTACAGTCTGGTCACTGCACTATAGGAAGGATGAGATTGGCGGGGAGGTGGTTAGTTAAATGGCTCATCTGAGCCTTTGGCTATACTGCCCTCACAAATTCATTAGCCTCACCAGATAAACTAGTAACTAGATCAACATCTTCAAGAGTGTTACAGAGTGACACTGGAGGAGATTCACCAGGGTGCTTGGAATGAAGCATTTTAGCTATGAAGAGAGGCTGAATAAGCTTGGATTGTTTTCCATCAGGAAAGATAAGACTGAGGGGACATGATTGAGGTGTAAAGATCATGAGGAGCATGGGCCAGGTAAATAAAAAGCAGCTGTTCCCTCTAGTTGAAGGTTCAATAACAAAGGTGGAAGGTTTAGAAGGGATTTGAGGAAAAATTTTTTCACCCAGAGGGTGGTTGAAATCTTGAATGCACTGCCTGGGAGGGTGGTTGAGCTGGGAAACTTCATAACATTTAAGATGTACTTGATGAGCACTTGAAATATCATAACATTCAAGGCTATGGTGGAAAGTGTAGATTTAGAGTAGTTTTGTTAGTGCAGGTTCGATGGGCCAAAATGCCTTTTCTGTGCTGTAAGATTCTATGATTCAAGACCATACTGCCCGTTGAACCTGGTCTGATATTTAATATGATAACAGTTGACTTTGAACTTAAACTTCACTTTCCTACCTCCATAGCCCTTAATCAACAAGGGAATCTAAGGGTTATGGGGAAAATGCAGAAAAGTGAAATTGAGGTTTATGAGGTCAGCCATGGGTATATTAATAGGTTAAATGGCGTATTTCAGCTCCTATTTCTTGTGGTCTTCATTTTTATCTATCTCGGTGTTAAATACATTTAACGGTGGAGTATCTACAACCATTTGGGGTATAAATTTAAAAGTTCAAAAACTTTAGTGAGACAATTCCCTGCATCTCAGTTTAATCATCAAGCCCTATCCTGAGATTGAGTCCCAATGTTCTAGATTCTGCAAAGAGAACAATCCCCAGTGTATGCCCTGTCAAGCCCTTTCAGAACCTTGTTTGTTTCAATGAGATCACCTCTCAATCTCCTAAACTTCAGAGAATACAGAATCACCTTACTCAGTCTTATTCTTTTGGAATGACTGCAATGACTTTTTGACTAATGGTGAAGAAATGTAATGAGGGATATTCGTTGTCCACCTCTGGGGGAGTGGTTGGTTAAATGGCTCATCTAAGCCCTTGGTTATACATCTTAAACATGTAACTAGATCAACATCTCCAAGAGTGTCACGACATGGATGGATGAGTGAGTTTCACACATTCCACCAGCTACGCATGTTCATGTTTGGCCTAGCTACACAATGCACCTTGTGCTCAACAGAAGCTGCTTTAGCTCATTGTGAGCTAATTCTACGAACAGCCCAGAACATCCAGGTATAGTTATGTGAATATTTGTTCCCATATGTTCAAAGAAGAAGTGGGGAGGTCCTTTGGCCAGACTGAAAGTGTTGAAACTTTGACATCCATGGCGGAGAGTAGTTTGGGTTAGAGGCTGATAAAATGACCAAGGCCATTGCAAGAGCTTGTGGTGTATGTGGGGAGAGAATGTTAGGGGAATAAACAGATTTAAATAGGAGGAAATTGCTGCTGTGGCTGAAATGATGGATATATCAGGGCAATCCTGTTCATGGACTTTGGGAAGGACTGGGAAGGAAGCTGTGCAGGTTTGTGATTTGGGAACTGAGACGCTTGGACATGTCAACTCTTGTGAATTTATTGCAACAGAAGTGATTTTGAAGTAAAATTAAGCCTCACTTGTGGCCTCAGAAACTGTGAAATCTTGGGATCTTAGAGAGAATAATTGCATGCCTGTCTGCCTGCATCCTTTTCAGGAACGTGCACACAATGCCTGGACTCTGACAAACCAACAGCCAAGCAACTGGAAATAAAGCTTGGCAAAGAAAGCTGCCTAAAGTCTGGTTCCTGAACCTGCCTGACCACAACTGTCCTGAACCCCTATCTGTGTTGGTTATATGGGCCCCAGGTCAGATATTCAGTTGGCTCAGTGTTGGTGCTGGGACCCTCTTGCATCCTGGGGTATGGCTCTCATTTGATATTTATTGTTGCCATACAATTGTTTGATGGTATTGATCAATCTTCTGTGTATGAACAGATTGTGTTGGTGACTAAAGGAAGGTTAGTGGGGAGGGCAGGTTGATAAAGGGTGGTGGTGGCCTTGTTATGGGCAGTTGCTCTATGATGTGTGGTGATTGTGACAGCGGCATATTTCATGTCTTCAGATGTCAGTGGGATTATTCAGGTTTGTGCGTGCTTACTGAATAATTTACCTGTCTGATGGGAGTTGCATTTTGCAGTTACTTGCAGTTGAAAGTGGATGAATGATCTTGGCTCTTGTAACGATGTCAGCTCGTCGATCGCTGAGGCCTGGGAAAGTGTTGTTAACTTCACTGCAATTTACGGCTGCTGGGTTCCTCTACAGTATCCCCTTCTTCCTCCTGTTCACCATTTATATAGTCATACAGACAATCACAAAAGGAAACACTGTGGCTAGCTTGTACCAGAGGGTGCCACCTGACCAGTCAATGTAAGAGAAGTATATTTCCAACATTCTGATGATTGGCTCAATGCGGTCTCGTGTGAGGAGTGGTTGTAGTTGTGCTCTCAACTTTTGTGTCTGGGCACCAAACAGGTGTCAGGAGAACATAGGAAATAGGAGTGGGTGTAGACCATTCAGCCCTTCCAACCTGCTTTACCATTCAATTAAATTATGGGTGACCTTCTATTGCAACATCATTTACCTGCACTATTTCCATATTCCTTAACATTTTTAAGATATAGAAATCTATTGATCTCAGTTGTGAACTTAACAACTGCACAGACTGTGACATAACAATTTCTAAATGCTTTCTGTAAAGCATTTCAGATACAGTCATACAGCCTTTGTAAAGAGCTCGGGCCCATTACAGTCAAATTCACCAATTCCAGTTATAAACCAATTGCCAATCAATATTCTTTCATGTTTGTAAAGAAACAGGAACTCTTGATCTGCAAGAGTTTGTCTCTTGATTTATGAAGGGGTGAAGGCTACCACTTCTGGAGGTTGCAGGCCATGATGGGAAGAACTCCAGAGGAAATAAGACTAATGGCAATATGGGAGACGATGGCATGATGTATGGTATTGGGAGTGTGGTTTGGGTTGCCGACCTTATTTGTTTGATTTATTATTGTAAAATCTACCAAGATACAGTGAAAAGTATTGTTTTGTGTGCTATCCAGACAAATCATACCTTACGTAAGTACATCAGGTTAATAGAACAGAATGCTGAATATAGTGTTACAGCTACGGAGAAGGTGCACAGAAAGATCAATTCTCATTTATGAGAGGTCCATTCACCAGTCTGATAACATTGGGAAGAAGCTGTTCTTGAATTTCCTGGAGTTTCCTGGAATTAGATGAATCAACATAAGAAGACCAGCAGAAATGCAAGTAAAGAAAATTACATTTATTGCAAATTTTCCTTGGATAGTTAACTGTTTGAAAATTGGGGGTGAGGCATTTGACTGGACAAAGGGCTTGGCAGAGGTTTCATATAGTGAAACCTCCAGGAATGTATCTAACTGGTTCTGGCAACCTTAAATATGATCCGAAGGAGGTTGGAAAAGGTGCAGAGGGTTGGCTCTCAACTACCCCAAAGTAAAAGATTCAACAAAGAACCCATGTCCTCTTAGCAGGTTTAATGACAATGTTGGAGTTGAACCTAAAATCCTGTTGTATTGTATATTGTTTACACATCTATTTATATGCATGACAATACTTTTCTCTATAAAATGAAGAAAGGCTATTCTTTTAAACACCAAAGATGTTATAATTAAACAAACTAACAAACTTACACGCTTGATCACCTGACCTGGCAGCCTAACGCCGCTTCTTCCCAACGTCATATCCGCCGGCCTGGCCACTGAAGTGAAAGTGGTTATAGACAGGCAGTTGCGTGGACAGACTCCGGCCGTGGGCGGGGTCCTCATCGAGGCTTCTAACGGTCATTGAGCGGCTCGAGCGCGGGTACGCGAGGCCCGGGCTTCAGGCCTAACCCCCTCAGGGTTGCGGTCCCACAGTCTCGCTACCAACCCCCTTGCGGTTGCGGTCCCTCGGCCTCGCCACCGACCACCTTGCTACCACCACACTACCCCCCACCCCCTCCAAATCCTCTCCCTTCCACCTCCCTCCGAGAGCCGCCGCTCGGAGATGGTCTCCGGCTGATAATGGGCGGCAGCAGTTCTAAAGGCCGCACCTTCTGGCCCTTCGGATCGGGCGCCGTCAGCGACTCGGCCAAAGGCGTCGGCGAGCAGACCCTGACCCGATACAAGGGCAGCCGGCTCGGGGCTACTCCTTTCGTCTTTAGCCGCCGAAGGTAAGAGGGTGGGGGTTCAGGAGGAAAAGTGGGCAGCGTCCAGATTCTGGGATGTTGGGGCGGAGGAGAAGAAGAGGGGGCTGGATCCAGATTTCGGGAAGTTGTTGGAGGTGGAGAAAAAGGAGGCAGGATCCAGGTAAGGGATATTGTGTGGGAGTGGGTGGGGAATGCAGACTGAGAGAAGATCAATCTGGGAGAAAACGGGAGTTAGGAGCAGATGGCTGTAGGAAGTTAGGGGCCAGAACCATGGAGCTGGGGGCATGGGGAATCGATTAACAGTGAAAGGAACAGAGTAAGGTTTGCAATTTTCAAGACAAGAAGGAAACAAGTTAGAAAACAAGCCGTAAGATAAGGAATTGGGTGACGAATAAGGTGAGGTAGTGACTGAGTGGGTTGGACAGGGTGTAATTGATGGCCAAGTGGCAAAAGAATAACTGAGTTTTTCTCTTCCTAAAATGTGGTGTTGTCTCCTATTAGCTCTTTCATTTCCATGATCTGTGAGTGTCCTTTATGTGTTGCAGTGAGCACTCAAATTTATGCTAGAAACATTTACCCTTCCTGTTGGTGACTTCAGTGTGATGGCAGAGTTAGCATTTACGGGTTTCCTAGGAGTAAAGGAGAATTGTTTGGTCAGAGTCTTGTGGGGAATTTCCACCATGCTGTGATTTGCCCAGTACTGCCTCTCTTCAATTTTTCCCCACCAGGGATTTCATGTTTAGATTTGAATTGTGACTGACACTATCTGATTCCGTTCCTGGGTCAGTCCTTGTTCCTATCCTGGTGGCTCTGCTATAGTCTTAGTCTTCACGAAGTGATGTTTCTTATGCCAGTTTCCAGAATGGTATAGGCAGTGATATTGACAGTTGTTTACATTCTTGGAGCCTTTACAAGGGGTGTGGTAGCCACTGTGCATCAAATATGTCCCAGATGGAGCAAGAGGTTTTAGCCTCCCTCTTTCAGAGCAAAGACAGGGTTTTGGGATTCTCAACATGGCCAACTTTTCGAGGCCCAATCTGCTGGCTTGCCACGTTGGGTGAGGACTTGTCCAGTCTCTTTCATTGTCCTTTTTTTCTAGGCCTGAGTCTTGCACTGTCTAGTTTTTGACCTGTTATTTCATACTTCAGCTGTTTCCCAGGATTATTAGGCTGAGGTAAAGTAAAAATACAGGATTTGCTGCGAAAGGGGCTGAGTATTTCTGGCACTTTTTCTGATATAATGATTGAGGCCCTGTTCTCAGAAACAGCCCATTATCTCATTGCATTTGGACAATTTGTTAATGTTTGAGGTTATTGCTGTGCAAACAGACTTGCATTTAATTGCAGTAAGGGCATTACTGCTTTTGAAATGGTTTTGAAAAAGCTTGGCAGTTTTCACTTTAACGCTTGTGTAAGTTAATTGCTGTGTCAAAGCAAGCTACTGTAGATTCTCCATCTAAAATGCAACATAACATGCTGGAGAAACTCAGCCAGTCGGGTGACATCCTTGGAGGGAAACTGTTAATGTTTTGAGTCTGGTATAACTCTTCAGAACTGAAGTATGCTCTCTAAAGAAGAGTCATATCAGGTTCAGTGTTTTCGTTTGATTTCTGGCATCTGCAGTTTTTTTTTTCGTTTTGTAAATTATCACTGTTCGTGTTGGGTGCTGTGGTAAGTTCACCTCGTTAATTATTTGCGGTGGAGTTCCTCGGATGATGTTAATGTTCTGAATCTTATCAGTAATATCATAAGGCAAAGTTAGTGCTCTTAATTATTTGTGTTTTTAAAATATTTTATTTTGAAGTTTAGCAGTTTCCTTTTGTTAGCCCTATTTTTAAAGTTCTTCCTCAAATGTCCATTAAGTTACACTATTCCACTCCTAAGAGATTGGAAAAGTGATCTGTTTCAAGGCTTGTCACACTAATCCCATAATTGAGAGCAGGTTAATAGTATTGTGTGTGGTTGACAAATTCTGATCTCTTGTTCCTACCTCCTGCTCCACTCCTGTACACATCTGATGTCCCTTGACAACTTCACTAAGGTTGAGAAATTGTCCAGGGAATATTAAGTATCAAATAACAACCTGCTTTTCCCTGGTGAAGCATATTGGTTATATCTGCCAGTTCTGTTGCTATATAATGCAGCTGGCAGATGTGAAATGATGGATGCTTTTCATTCATGTACACTAAACCAGTGGGGAAAAGGTCTACCTTATAAACAAGAGACTTAAAGAATGGAAATGGTATCCTGCACTGGTTTAGACAGCTGTTTGTATAGAGTCACAGATGTACAGCATGGAAACAGACCCTTCGGTCGAACTTGACCATGCCGACCAGATATCCTAGATAAATCTAGTCTCGTTTGGCCCATTTCCCTCTCAACCCTTCATGTTCATATATCCATCCAGCTGCCTTTTATATGTTGTAGTTGTGTCAGCCTCCTCCACTTCCTCTGGCAGCTCATTCCATACACGCACCACCCTCTGCGTGGAAAATGTCCTTTAGGTCCATTTTAAAACTTGACCCTCTCCCCTTAAACCTATTCCCTCTAGTTTTGGACTCACCCTGGGGAAAAGACCTTGTCTATTTACCCTATCCATGCCTCTCATGACCTTATAAACTTTTAATAAGGTCACCCCTCAGCCATCAACGATCCAGGGAAAACAGCGCCAGCCTATTCATTCTCTCCCTATGGCTCAAACCCTCCAACCCTGGCAACATCCTTTTTAAATCTTTTCTGAACCCTTTCAAGTTTCACAACATCTTTCCAAAGCAGGGAGACCAGAATTGTACGCAGTATTCCAAACGTAGCATGACCAGTGTCCAGTACAGCCACAACATGACCTCCCAACTCCTTTACTCAGAGCACTGACCCATAAAGGCAAGCTTATCGAACACCTGCTTCACTATCCCATCTACCTGTGACTCCACTTTCAAGAAACTGAGCCTGCACTTTGTTCAGCAACACTGTCCAGGATCTAAGTCCTGCCCTGATTTGCCTTTCCAAAATGCAGCACCTCACATTTTATCTAAATTAAATTGCATCTGCCACTCCTCGGCCCATTGGCCCATCTGATCAAGATCCTGTTGTACTCTGAGGTAGCCATCACTGTCTACTACACATCCAGTTTTGGTGTCATCTGCAAGCATACTAGCCATACCTCCTATGTTCACATCTAAATCATTTATGTAAATGATGAAAAGCAGCGGACTAGTACGGATCCTTGTGGCACACCACTGGTCACAGGCCTCCAGTCTGAAAAGCAATTTTCCGCCACCACCCTCTATCTTTACCTTTGAGCCAGTTCTGTATCCAAATGGCTAGTTCTCCCTGTTTTCCATGTGATCTAACCTTGCTAACCAGTCTACCATGAGGAACCTTGTTGACCGCCTTGAAGTCCACATAGGTCATATCAGCTGCTTGGCACTCATCAATCCTCTTCATTACTTCAAAAACTCAATCAAGTTAGTGAGACACAATTTCCCACACGCAAAGCCATGCTGACCATAATCAGTCTTTGCCTTTCCAAATACATGTAAATCCAGTCCTTCAGGATTCCCTCCAACAACTTGCCCATCACTGATGTCAAGCTGACCGGTCTATAGTTCCCTGGCTTTTCCTTACAACCTTTCTTAAATAGTGGCACCACGTTAGCCAAACTCCAGTCTTCCGGCACCTCACCTGTAGCTATGGATGATACAAATATCTCAGCAAGAGGCCCAACAATCACTTCCCTAGCTTCCCACAGAGTTCTGGGGTGCACCTGATCAGGTCCTGGGGATTTGTCTATCTTTAGAGTCATAGAGTAATACAGCATGGAAACGGGCCTTTCAGCTTTGGTCTCTATCCCTGTAAACCCTTCCCATCCGCATACGTATCCAGGTGCCTTTTAAATGTTGCTACTGTAGCTGCCTCAACCATTTTCTCTGGCAGCCCATTCCATATATGCACCACTCTGCGTGAAGAAGTTGCCCCTCAGGTCGTCCTCAAATCTTTGCCCTCTCTCCTTAAACCTACGCCATATAGTTTTCGAATCCCCCATCCTTAGGGAAAAAGACTGTATGCATTCATCCTATCTATGCCCTTCATGATTTTATACACTTCAATAAGGTCACCCCTCATTCTCCTGCATTCCAAGGAATAAAGTCCTATCCTGGCCAGCCTCTCCCTCTAACTCAGGCCTGCTGGTCCTTGCAACATCCTCGTAAATATTCTTTGCACACTTTCCAGTTTAACTATGTCTTTCCTTTTTGCATCCTCAAATATGGACACTTTTCAGTATGTCGCTATTTATTTTTCCCATGTTCTACAGCTTCCATATCCTTCTCCACAGTAAATATTGATGCAAAACACTTGTTTAGTAACTCCCCCATCTCCTGCAGTTCCACACATTGGCAACCTTGAGGGTCTTTAAGGGGCCCTAGTTACCCTTTTGCCCTTAATGTATTTGTAAAGTCCTTTTGGATTCTCTTTGACCATATTTGCCAAAGCTATCTCATGTCCCCTTTTTGCCCTTCTGATTTCCCTCTATATTGCCTTTATACTCTTCCAGGGATTCATTTGATCCCTGCTGTCTATACCTGACAAGGCTTCCTTCTGGACCAAAACCTCAATTTCTGTAGTCATCTAGCATTCCCTACACCCACCAGCCTCACCCTTCACTCTAACAGGAACATACTGTCTCTGGACACTCTGTCTTGTTTTTGAAGGCTTCCCATTTTCCAGCTGTCCCTTTACCAAGAACTTTTTGAAAGTTCTTGTCTAATATCATCAAAATTGGCCTTCCTCCAATTTAGAAAAGGATAGACCAGATTTATCACTGTTTTAAAACTAATTGAATTATGGTCACTTCCTGAAAGTGCTCCCCCACTGACACTCCAGTCACCTGCTCTGCCTTGTTTCCCAAAAGTAGGTCAAGTTTTACACTTTTTCTAGTAGGTATATCACATACTGAATCAGAAAATTTTCTTGTACACACTTAACAAATTCCTCTCCATCCAAATCCTTAATGGCAGTCCCAGTCTG